AGAGGGACATTATGCTTGGGAGGTTGGAGGGACATAGCAGTAGGGAAAGGCCCTCTATGAGGTGGATTGATTCAGTGGCTGGGGTATTCGGGATGGGTGTGTCGGAGACAGTTCGACTGGCACAGGACAGAGCACAGTTTAGTTAGGGCTGTTGTACACAGGGTCGCTTTGAGTCACAAGCAACTCGACGGCACATAACAACAACAACAAGAAGAAAGGGTCAAATTCATGACATTCATTTGAAAACCACATACTGAAAAGGTAAAAAAGAAATCTTTTCCAAATTAAACCAGCACTCTTAAAGTTTATGTAAAACCAGACTACAACAGTTTAGGTAACTCTGAAATGAGAAGAACTACATCTAGGGGCAGCCACAAGTTTCTTATCATCAAGTTAGGACCAACAAATAGCTGACCCTCTACGAGGTTTTCAAAAGCATCCCAAAGTAAGAAACTGCCCATCATTCTCCTGTAGAACAGCCACTGGAGTCGAACTAAATGCCTTTTAGTTCGCAGTGCAACTTCTTACCACTGCTGCTGCTGTTGTAATATGCTATCGAGTTGAGTAAACTCATAGCGTATCTGTGAACAGTCCGACCAGCACACCCTGCCCTATCTTGTGCCATCTCATCATTTCTGACACACCAGAGTTCACTTCTGAAGTCACCACCTCAATTCATCTCATTGGAAATCTTCCTCTCCTTCGCTAATCTTCCATCTTTCCAAGCATGATGTCCCTTTCCAAGGAATAATCTCCCCAAAGTACATGTCACCATAATTACAAGGAATCTCCCAGGTAACTGAAAAGAAAGACCACATGGTAACAAAGAATAGACGACAATCAGTCTGGGTTTGTAGTTCTTAAAGACTCAAGAACACACCTCCTCAGGAAGATGAAAAGCAAAGAGCACCTTTATGAATCTTTGAAAAGTCTCTAGTAGAGATTTACAAAACTAGCAAATACTTGTATTAAAACAGGAGGTAGCCTAGTGCTAAGACACTGCACTGTGATTCTAAACACACCAGTTGCTCCACTGGAGGATGAAAAATCTCCTCCCATGCAATTAACTGCCTCTGAAAACCCACAAGAGGGACAGTGATGGACTGGTCGGACTCAATGGTATTCAACCACAACAAACAAAAAATAGTAGCCAAAAAAAAAAAAAACTTTCACCGTACAACTGAGCTATGAACGGCAGTTCTACTGTTGTTATTATTATGTGCCATCAAGTCTGAACTGACCAACCGACAGCTGGACCCTCCTGCAGGTTTTTGGAGGCTGTAAATTGCAAGGGAGGAGACTACTCATTTTTCTCTCAAAGTAGTTATACCTTGCTGCTGTTGTATATCCTTCGAGTGAGAACCAATTCATCGTTGAACCTCCTGTGGGTTTTCAGTGGTCTTAAATCCATACCTTTTTCAATCTATATGTGAAATCTCATTCAGGAGGCTGGACTATAGAAGGAGAAATGTGGCATCAGGATTGGAAGAAGACTTATTAACAACCTGTATTATGCAGATGACACAGCCCTGCTTGCTGAAACTAAGGAGAACCTAAAGCACTGCTGCAGAAGGTCAAGGACTGCAGCCTTCAATATGAACTGAATGAAGCTCAAGAAAACAAAGATTCTCACCACTGGGCCAATTGGCAGCATGACAACAGATGGAGAAGAAATTTAAATTGTTATGGAGAAGAGATTGAGAGTTTTAATAGTGTCAGCATGCTTGGCTCCACAATCAACTCTCTTGGTACCAGCAGCCAGGAAATCAAAAGACAAACTGCATTGGGAAAATCTGCTGTCAGGGAGCTCTCCAGAGTACTAAAGAGTGATGATGTCAGCTTAGCTTCTAAAGTGCACCTGGTCATGGTTTCGCAATTTCTTCCCATGCATCAGAAAGCTAGAAAATGACTAAGGATGACAGAAGAATCAACGCCTTTGAGATGTGATGCTAGAGAAGAAAACAGAATATACCCTATTACTGCTAAAAGAGTGAACAGGTCTGTTCAGGAGAGAGTAATACCAGGCTGCTCCTCGGAGGCAAGGATTCTGCAGCTCTTTCTGGCACACTTTGGGCAAAGTGCCAGGAAGGACCAGTCCTTGGAGAGGGTTATTGTGCTTAGAAAGGTGGAGGAACAGTGCAAGAGTCCCTCGAAATCCCTCGATGAGATGGATTGACTAAGTGTGCGGGGTAAAAGG